CGATGCTATATTGCGTCAGTTACAATCACTACATAAACGACGAAGTCTTAGAAACTGAGAAAAAGGAATGGAATTCTTAACGTGAGATGGATGCGAAGGCGAATACAACAAGTAATTATGCGAGTCTGTAGGTTTGTAATACGCACTAGTGCATAAACCGTTGCCTTCAATTGAAACTTTGATGTCTAAAAGGGATAAAGAATTGTCAGAAATTTCCCAGGTATATTTCAGAGCCGGGTGAAAAGAACTGACTGCGGTTATGAATTGAGTCAGCTCCTCTCTGGTAGAAGAGGTGGCGCCGATACAGTCGTCGATGTAGCGAGCGTAGAGTTCAGGTTTGGAGCCGTTGTATTGGTTTAAAATATGGTGTTCGACAAAACCTACAAAAAGATTGGCATAGCTAGGTCCCATTTTGGTACTCATGGCTACACCATTGGTTTGTTTGAAAAAGTTGTCCCCGAGTGAAAAAAAATTGAGTGTGAGCACTAGTTCGGCTAAGCGCAGTAGTGTTTCAGATTTAGGTTCCTTAACAGTACGTTGATCAAAAAAATGTTTAAGGGCCAGAAGACTTTCGCCATTAGGAATGACAGTGTAAAGAGACGTAATATCCATGGTGAAAAGAAGTTTGTTTTGGCCAAGGAAATCAAAGTGGCGAAAAATTTGGAGAGCGTGTTGGCTGTCTTTAATATATGATGGAAAACTTTTGACGATGGGAGCCATAATCTTGTCTAGATAGCTTGATTTATTAATCTAACCGCAGATCTCCTTTCGCATAATCTTTCGTAAATTAAGAAGGAATTAAAAAATGTCACTATGCGGCCCACTATCCATTTTAGTGTTGTTGGTTCACCTGTTTTGGTAAAGATTAAAGTCCGATTTTCCGCCGCTGAACGAATAACAGTACAATCAGTTACAAGAGCTGTGATAATGCCGGCGATCTTGAAAAATCAACAGGATGCTACTGAAGTAACTGTAAATAACTCGCTTCGTTAAAGTACAAGTATGCCAGACCGTTTACTTTTTTCCCATCCGCTTCCACTATTTCGTGCCAATACCGTGGCAACCGTTGCGAAACTCATCGTCACCAATTATGACTCAATCCACATCTTTGGACGTACATAGTATCCGATACTCATGTAACATTCGTCATTGTCATGAGCAACCTGGTGTCGACATATCAAGTTATTGATGGCCAAAATCCCAAAGGTTTGATACCAACCTCTCTTCTTACCTATATTGATTGTGTACTCTGACACGGTGACGATGTTTTTCTCAGTTTAAAGAGAGGAGAATGGGTTGTTTATTATGAAACAGAGACGAAGTTTTCTTAGTTCAGTTTACGAAGATGTGTTATAGTTACTATTCCATTTTAAGTTAAAAATTTTATGCTCATATTCGCATGGTAATCGCATGGGGCCGAGTAAAATTAAGGATTAATATCACGCGTGTTTTCGAAAGTTGCTGAAATTTCCCAAGTCGCGCAGCGTCGAGGGCAATTTATGCAACTTCCGAAAACACAAGTGATATTAGTCCTTAATTTTACGAGGAACCATGTGATTACTTGTTTAGAATATAGGGGGCAAAATGTTTTCTTACTGATCTCGGGAAAAACGAGACACCATTGTTACAAAACAAACAGAAATTTCTTTACCTTGACAGTCATTGCTAGGCGATTTTCAGCCAATCATTTTCAAGTAATTTTGCCCGGGGCAATTACAAAAATTAAGAAAATATGTTGTCTGTCTTGACCAATCACAATTCAATAATTTTACCCCTTATATGATAATATTTGTTACCAAATGAGAGATGTCCACTTAATTGTTCCAAAGTTGCTTTTTACCCCATAAATTGTTGCGTGCGAAGTACGTGAATTATATATGTTTCATGATTGAGGTTTTGTCACGAAGATTCGATCGACACGACGTCAGTACTAGTGCAGCTGATTGTGTCAGCTAGGTTAAGAGTCGGTTACTTGGTAGGTATGAGAAGGTATTGTTATGAATTAACCACGTGGTGATAAAATGAGAGGACAGAAAAAGCTGTTTATAAAAGCTCGGTATTTAGGTGTAATAAGTAAATTCACCTTAAAATTGTTAATAAGGAGAAACCTGTATTATTCAGAATCTAATTAAAAACTCCAATGATTTCAATGTCGATATCCCAAAATCAAGGATAGTCAAAGGTTACATGGCAAGAAAATGAGGCGCATCGATTGCGACTACTCGCAATTTTCTGCCGACGCGACAAATTCAGTGTTCTGTCTTTCATTGGAAATAACTGTTGAACATGTTAGATGCATTAAATGTGATCATATCAAATTGAAATTTCATTCTTTTATTAAAATCAGAAAGCAGTCCGGTCATATTGTTTAATAATATTGGAAAAGGATAAAGAAAAGTCACAGGTATGCTTTTAGGGAAAAATAATACCCTACCTTTCTTTTAAATGTTTCAGTCAAGAATGAACATCTTGCGTTGCTGTATCATTTTAGATTTATTCATTAGCAGTGCTTGACGTGCTTGACTGACACGGATACCCTTTGTTTGCTCCTTGAAGACTGCTTGACTAGTGACCAGGAGAACCATAATTCTTTGAGAAAACACATGTCTAGTTCTTGTTAATTTTGAAGTTTGTTGGAAATATTTCTCTGACTCATTCTTTGTGGACTCTGCGATCTCACGTTCTGTTATGTTCATTCATTTAATTATTCTGTCATAAAAGTCTCATCAGGAGATGATCTATCACATATTTGATAATATTACAGCACAAGCAGTAATTGTTTACAGAAACGACTTGAAATGACGCATAATAAATGAAGCAGCTGCGAACAAAAACAAAAACCACTAAATTTCTCAAATAGTGAATTTTAAAACTGTGCAGCAAGAGGAAATAGCTTCTTTCTGAGCAAATTTCTGGCAGTTGGAAAGACTAACTTTTTTATCGTGCATGGTAAGTCGAAGAATTAATTTTTAGCGGCTGACGTTTCCCTCTTTCTTGACCGTTTATCTTCTTCGCTGGCCATTTATGTTTATCCTTAGGGGAGATATTTTTTTAGCTGGAAGTCGCCAAGTGAGAGTCTTATGAGATAATCATGTTAAAAGAACGACTCAATATTGGATCGGAGTCAATACCCGTGTTATTGAGACATGATGGGAATTATGGTGTAGCTCTGATAGCTGCAGCTTTTTTAACTTTTCAAGAATTAAGTGGCAGTATTGAATCCTCAAGTCTTCTGCAGCGAGAATAATGACAGAGCACGCTAATAATGAGATTTTATAAGCCCTTGTAGTTGTGATCTCTGTAACTCTGCAATATTTTCGATCAAACATGGATAAACTTGATATTTAACTCTATATATGGCTTTCACAAGTTCAATTAAATTGACGGAAGTTGCCAACCCAAAAAGCCCTCTGTGATAGGGATCGGGACGAATTTCAAAGCAAACTCGGAACACTTTGTACCGGCTCATTCGCTAAACTGAAGAGCTTAGTTTCATTAAGGCACCCGTGTCAGCAGCACGTGGTCATCTCTACCCTATTCCTGCTTAATTAAGGCTGAAATCATGAAATTAAATGCTATGTATATCTTATCATTAGATACTACTAGATTGAGGTCTGGGGGTACTAAACGAAGCAACGCATCTCTTAACAAAGTTGATCCTTGGTTCGACAACGATTCTATGGAACTGATAAGGTACAACCCGGGTGAAGTTGATAGATCTCATATCCAAACTCCTGAAGTTGAGGTATATAAGCCGGCCATGAATACCCTGATATACTTCGCAAACGAAAATATTGCTGCCAAAGTAAATGTGAACACGTTGAATCAGGAAGGACTGGCCCCTATTCATCTTGCTGTTCGCATCAATGACGTTGGGACAGTAGCTTCTTTATTGCAAAGTGGTGCAGATATCAATCTTGCAGACAAAACTGGATTGACGCCTCTCATCACTGCAGCAAGGTATGCGCAAGTGGTTCATCGGCATTTCACTTAAATAACTCCACAAAGAGAAATTCCCGATCTAGGAAGAGGCAGAAAATTCTATCGCTTTCAGTTCTTCTGCTTCAATATAAATCCTAGCTTGTTTACACTGATAATCGAATTTTGGAAAATCAGCTAACACTTCGATAAAAACCCAATACTTCATTGCATTTCATGTTGAAATTTAAATAGTTTTACAAAAGGTTACATTCCCACTCGTTTTATATGTGAGAATTGTAGTTACTTGGCTAATTTCCAAGTTTTAGCGACATAATGTTTCCTCAACTAGGAGTTTCCCCCTTGGCACCCTTTGCTTCGTGAATTCATAGCATGGCCTTATATCAACATTGCTAGTCATAAATAGCTTGAATTTAACAAAGAATTTTGTATCATTGCATCGTCTTCAGGTTTAACAGGCCAGAGGTGGTTAGGCTTCTTCTTGAAAGAGGAGCTGATCCTCTCATTGGAAATGAGTCTTATTCGGTTTCACCACTTCACGAGGCTGCCAGAAGGGGCTTTAGAGAGATTTGTAGTCATCTGTTGAATGATTCTAGAATAAAGGCTACTACTGTAAATTATGGAAGTTTTTCGCCTTTGCACATGGCCTGCGTGGGCGGAGATCGAGCCACATGTGAGCTGATCTTAAACCATGGTGCCGACATCACCTACACTTCGAGGATAACTAATAATACGCCACTTCATTTTGCGGCTTGGAAGGGATACCAATACAATTGCGAACTTCTTATCAAAGCAGGTAATCGTTTACTCTCCCGACCTACCAAAACCATTTGCTAGTTTGTTTGTTTCGAGTACTCATTTGTGACTCGAGAATCACACAATACCATTCATGTATAGGGGGAGTTCCTCACGGACCTGGTTTTTCAGGTGTGTACCGATATAAGGTAGGTCATGGGGTAATAGATCTGAAATGTGTTACTGAGATCATAGCTATCATAGAGGGCTGACAATTTGATCGCTCACTAGTTGGAAAGCTGTTTCCGAAACAAATTCTTTTCTGGTTCTTTTCTGGCTCTCTTTTGCGAAAAGTGTGTTCAGTAATCGATATTCCGAGAAACAAAAACCTAATTTTGTGTAGGTTGGATTTTCTATCGTCTAAGAGGATTCCAAATGTACACAAATGTAATATATAGGGGAAACCTAGGATTATCAGAGTCCCTGTGACATGCGCCACACACACACACACACACACCCGAAAAAGTCAATATAACCCTATGAGAAATATCATGATATCACTTTCTTCAAGAAATACCTTGTCGGTTATCATGAACAAGTTTCTTGCTTTACGAAACGCAAAGGATTACATATTAAATTAACATTAATGTACAAAAAAATTGTTAATTGTTTGTTTCTTTTGGCAAAGCTTCCAGGACACTGTCCTCTGTAAGCGACTATATTAATATAAGAAACAGATATGGGGAAACAGCCTTCCATATTGCGTGCATGAGAGGAAAAGTGAATGCAGCTGAACTTTTTCTACTTCACGGGGCAGACCCTGATTCGCATAGTTGGTCGGACAACACGTCACCACTTCATTACGCAGCCAAATACGGCTTTGTAGAGTTGGTGGAACTTCTCATCTTGTACGGAGCAGCCGTTGACTCAAGGGATAGCAATTTAAGGACACCATTGCACAGGTAGCTTTTTAAGCAATTTCGAATATTTTTGAAAAGTGTTATATTACCAGTGCGCATTTATGATAACTTTGTTGTGCTATCAGAAAGGTTTTTTTGGTGAAACATTTTCTTGTTTTTGATAAAAATTTAGCGCTGCTACATTTAATCACGTACGAATAGTCGACCTACTTGTGGAGAATGGAGCAGATCTAGAGGCCAAAGACCAGTTATCGATGACTCCTTTTCTGTTAGCTGTGAGCCAGGGAGCATGCCACACCGTGAAAGCTTTATTGGACCGCGGAGCAGACATTAGTACTGTGGACTCTTCCTTGAATAGCTGCCTTCATTTGGCAGTAATCTTCAATAGGGCAGAAATAGTGCAACAGTTATTAAAAAGAGACGGAGACAAACTGATAAAGTGTAAGGACAAGGACTTGAAGACGGTATTTCATTTGGCAGCTGTTCTGGAAGATCCAAAGGTACTTACATTTATATCGGACAGCGTCTCCCAACTAAACGGCAATGCTTGTCTCTCATAGGGATTATGAGAGTTGATGTATTTCCACTACGGCTAGTCCTGTACCCCAAAGAAACCTTGAAGCGGAGACGAGTGATTCCCCCATTTGGGGGAAAAGAAACGAACAAATTATACTTTGCCCTACAGGAACTAACTGAATAAATTTGCCATCTTTCTATTTGCCTTCTTAGATCCTGGAAATTCTCGTTCAAGAGGCCCAGAAAAAGGAGGAATATTTTAGGCTACGGGATGCAGATGAACGAATGCCTATTCACAATGCCGCTGCAAATGGATCCTTAAATTGCTTGCGGGTTCTCGCCGTTTGGCCTTTTCTGGTAAATGAGAGAGACAATGGAGGAAGTTCGCCTCTTCATTTAGCTGCCAGCAACAAGCAAACGTTGGTACTCCTTATGCTGTTTGGTTTAAAAAATATCTCAACGTGGTCATTTACACAAAACCATCTCGTAATTAACTGAGGGTAGTGTCCCTATGATCACAGTTAATAGAGGGGACTGGCCAGTCCCCTCTATTAACTATGCTCTGATCACTCAAGTTTTAACACATACCATCTATTGAATTACATTTTTTTGGAGGGGGAGAGGGTCAGTTTTTGCATGATTTTTTTCCACTGTACTAGACCTTAAAGGGTATTTGTGACCTTGCCTAAATTCATATTTTGCTTGCGCCCCAGTGCTGACTTGCGACGATGGCCGCTTGGACCAATCGTATTCAATTTGGTTATATCAACTAAGTTGAAATTGTAAATTGGCCACCGTAAAGAATTAAAAAACTGACGTTTCGAGCGCTAACCCTTCGCTTTCACGTAGGGCTAACGCTTGAAATGTCAGTTTTTTTTTACTCTTTAAGGTGGCCAATTTACAATTTCAGCTTAGTCCACATAACCAAATTACCTTGTTACCCCCACCGACGCAGCACTACATTCTCTTTAGAAACTTTCCTCCTCCGATCAGATTTAGCTACATTTGTTTTTATTAGATGGCTACTTTGTAAATGCTTTCTACTATTTCGGTTAAGGCTTTTGCCGAGACCAACGCTTTGTCACAAATCTTTAAAAAACACTCAATGTATATGTGCTGCATTCTCAAAATCGTGTTTTTGATTTATATTTTTTTTTCTCAATCTTTTTGGAATTTTTAGCGAGGCATGTGAACTGTTAGTCCTAAAGGGAGCTGAAGTGACTTCCACTGATACACACGGCCGTACGGCCCTTCATTTGGCTGTCAAGGCTGGTTCTTTGAAAACAGTCAAAATTGTACTTAATTAGCTTTTGGTGAGCACCCTTGAGGCGAGAGATGAAGATGGCAACACTCCTCTTCACTTAGCCTGCAGATATAATCGCCTTGATATTCTTAACTTCTTTTTGGACAAAGGAGCTGACGTCACAGCTTTAAATAACAGAAAAATGACTTGCCTTGATACTGCTATTGAGTGGGAAGCCAAAGATGTTGCCATGACACTCATGAGACACGAAAGGTACGTTTTTAGATCTTGAAATCTGGTGGGGACACAAAGAGTTAATATTTCTGTTCTATGTCGGAGTTTACATAGGTTGAGTTGAGGGAAAATTGTCTTCAGTCATCCAAATAACTATACGGGACAAGAGAGAATTACATTATATTCACACTGAGATTTATACAATGAAGGGACGCGAAATAAATCTCCGGTCACTAGTTGGTCAAAGAAGCTGAGAGCCAATCAAATGGCACGTATCGCTTTTTTCACGTGTGAGGAAAATGAGAAGTCCAATCAGGAGCGCGTATCATGCTTTTTCATGTGTGAACCGTATCGAGGCGGTAACCATTTCATCTTCACAGGTAGGATCTCCCTTTTCAAACTTGAGAAGTAAGGAAATTCGTAAGAGGACTGTGTGGAATAGAAAGCACTGGCAGAACAAAACTAAGAAGAGAAAACAATGAGAAATAAAAGCAACTAGATTTGTAAAAATAGGGAAATTACGCATATATATTGCGGAGTTCGTTCGACAGCGTTTGACAAAAAGACAGAGAGGATTATGAGTCTTCACGGCTAAGAATAATATAACTTCACTAACAACAATTGACTATCAAACGCCTTTGCTCTTCCCCAATTAAATTAGTTGTTGAACACTGAAATTGCATGATAAATTAATAACTTTTGAATGATTATTACTTAATAGGTGGCAAGAGGTGCTTCAGTGCTCACCAGTTGTTAGTGTTCATCCGATGGGAAAACTAATCGAAAAACTTCCAGATGTGGCAGAAGTTATTCTCGATAAATGCATCACCTACAGTCCACACCCTCCGTCTCACGAAGACTTTTCTGTCACATTTAACTTGGTTCACTTAGATCCTGGGCCTGATTGTCACAGTTACTTCGGGCCAGCTTACATGGCAAAACATCGACGAGAAAAATTGCTCAATCACAGTGTCACGCAAGCGTTGTTGAGATGGAAGTGGCTAATTTTGGGGAAGTTTGTCTCCTTGATTAACGCTGTTGTAATGGCCGCTTATGTCATCCTTCTCTCGTGTCTCTTTGTCATAGAGAGGGACAAAATCAATTTTTTAGTCACTTCCTCCGAAAAAACAACTAGCGAAGGTGTCAAAATCAAATCGTCGTTTGAGATGACAGTTCCTTATGTTATACTAGCATTTTTGATCGTGCAGCTCATGAAGGAAGTTATTCAAATGATTTGGCAGCGGATCTCCTACTTCAGGGATATCACAAACTTGTCAGAGTTGGTAATGTACATATTGGTGTGGATTTTCATACTTCCTCAAATGACTGAGAGAAATATATACAGCAGAGAGACTCAATGGATATCTGGTATACTTGGGCTTCTCCTGAGCTACATCAATTTTACATTATCTCTTCGTCGCTTTGGTGGACTTGGTTTGTATGTCACGATGTACGTGGAAGTTCTGCGCACATTTCTGAGAGTGATGTCCACTTTCATGATTGCCCTGACTGGATTCACCTTGGTATTTTATGCCTTGTTAAAAGAACAGGTTAGAACGATCTCATGAATCTTACTGATCCTATCGTATTCATTACTAAAAAAACTAATGATGTTTGGAAAAAGATGTGTTTAGAACAGTATTTCATAGACTGGAGCTAAAACAACAACCGGTTTGCGGTCAATTCGCCACCACAACCAACTCGCCACCATAAAACTCCATTGGTACAAAGTAGCTTAATTGTTCACATACAGTATAATTATCTGGCGTTTCAAATTTTGTAACACTGCCTCATACTCAATAACAATTTTTCAAAAAAGGTACTCCTCCTTTTGGTTGTTACAGGTGCCCCTTGCTTCAGTTTTCATCCTTTAAAAATGGAGAGTAATTCTCGTGAATGGAATTACATGATTGAATGGTTTGGGTTTATTTTTTCTCTTAGGGTAATTTCTCAACTTTCTGGTACGCTTTTGCAAAGATCCACGTCACATTGGCTGGAGAATTAGACTACTCAAATATGTTGGTTGACAACATTGTGAACAACAACACAGTGCCTGGAACAAATATTCCATATGTTCCTCTGCCAATAGTCACTACCTGCCTGTTCTTAGCATTCGTATTGTTGGGTAGTGTTGTGCTCGTCAACTTGCTGGTATGAAAAAGATCAATTCTCTATGCTATTATAATACAGACCACCACTTGCGTGACATACGTTGAAAAAACCATCTTTAGCTATAAGGCGAGCCGAGAGGGATATCTTTAGGCCTTAGGGAAATACGTTTTTGGGGCGTTTGTTAATACATTCTAGAATTCGTTGTTTCCATAGTTTCACCGTTTTAAGTGGTTTATAATTAATTATATAATTAGCAGACATAAGGGCTTAATAATGAAATATATAATCAGCAGTTAGCAGTTAGTTATATATAGAATTATATATATGTAAATATTATTATATATACGTGAATATCATTACATCTGTATATATGCCTCTATCTCGCGTAGAACAGGGGTGTGATGTCAGCTCCCAAGGTTAAGGAAATACAACCAAATCAGAATATAAGGGTTAAACGTTTTGGCATTAGTGGTGGAAATAATAAGGGAATTTGATGTTGAAGTAGCAGTTGCAGTTAGAAAACGTTGTAACAGCAAAGAAATGGTACATTTAAGAAGAAGCTTTTGTGACCCAAAACTCCAGTAACCCTTCACGGTACTTAGAGTTTGAGCGAGTTTGCTCAAGCTATCTTCCCCTAACGTTCCAAAAAGATTTATGGAGGACCTGGGCACTAGACATGACTGTTACATCAGCCTATTGCTGTGATTGTCATCCAAAATTTAACGGTAGTTGTATTCCAAAACTATAGGTTGGTTTGGCGGTTGGAGATATCGAGTCTATTCAGAGGACAGCAAGTTTACGAGCTTTGATAGACCAAGTGTTATTAGTTGACGACATCATGAAATCCTATCCAAGCTTCATTCTTCGAAAACTTTACAGGAGCTCATTGAAAATAAAACCAAACGAAAATAGTTTCATGAAGTGGTAAGTAATGTTTTTCGGCAGTGAACTTTTTTTCCCTTTCTTTTTTTTATTTGCAGATCAGTGGCCACTTCCTTTGATTCATACATGATGCTCTTTTTATATCCCACTGAAAAGTCTATCAATGTCAATCATCTGCGTTCTAAATGAGTCTTCATACCTGGTCACACCCATGGGAGATAATGAATTCAAAGTCGTGAAATGGAAACAGGGGTTGTAAATGTATTGATTTTTGCTTCCACAAGAATGATGCATTGTCGATCAAATTCCAGGAAAAAGAATTTCCTGAGTCACCTTTACCTGGCCAGTAAGTATAAGGGTTTACCAAGCTCAATTGATAGCAAAGGGAGACTAAGAAGTTAGTTTTTATTTTTTACACAGCAGCTGTGTTTTATTAATCAACTCGAACCCCCTCTTACATTTTAGGGTCACTCTATCTGCTACTGATATAACAGGAAGTGATTTTGTGGACATGCTGCTAAACGGCGCATCAGGTGGGATCTCGAGTGATAGTTGCCAACAGCTACGGTTGCGAGAGGAAATGCAAGAAGAAAGGATGCAAAGACTTCAGGCCACTGTGGAAGCACAAGGAAAACTTCTTAAAGCAATGGCTGACAAGTTGAAAATCACAGATTATGAATAAAAGGCTAGTTGATCACAGAAAATTTAAATATGATCAAATGAAGTAATCGCTCGGATGAAGGATCGACTCAACGTCAGTAATTGATTTTAAACGTAGGTAGTTTGTTCGACAAGTTTATTTAGTTTCAAAGACGTTCAGACAAGCAATTTCAACACATTATTGTCATTTTAAAAGCAACCATATGACAAAAGAAATTAGTCCCACACCATCTTCTTTGGTATTTTGAATGTTCCATTTTTATTCTGCTATCACTGTGCATTTATAGAGAGTGTAAAAAAGTAAAGAATGCTGAAATTGCTAAGGTTTCTTACTTAGTAATCAGTGTTATATCGCTTTTATTTCTCTTTGAATGTTATCATATCGAAAGTGTACTGTGAAAATTCAGCGCGTATTTGCTATATGACATTACATTTCATAAAATATTTTGGCCACTAATGAGATATATATTGTTCTTAAAATGTCAACTGACAGAAAATGCCTTGCCCATAACTGGGAAATTTCCGAACTAATTTTCTCTCAAAAGCCTTAGAGCACTGCCATGACCGTTTAGTCTTCGTCTCGTTCAATTGAAGATGTGAGATCGTTTTACCGGCGTTGCAGAGCAAGAGGTCAACAAGCCATATCAGAAAACATTGAAAAGCCAGTTGTATTTTGAGTTCGGTAAGGTATTCGCAAACCTTTTGCAATATGGAATATCGAGAGATAGATAAATGAATCAACTAATGATTAAATGAGTGACTAAGTAGAATAAACTAGTACACACCTGACACATAAGCCTGTTTGGCGGGATGAAGTGTTGTCCGTGGACGTAATCTGTCACTCCGGAGCGCTTTCGCAAAGCTTTCTCTTCTCCAAATAGATGACGTCCGTGTAAAAATTATTTGAGCATATTTTCACGCACAGTAGAGGCTAATTAGGAGGAATACTTCAGAATAAAGAGAATAAAGGACGTGGAAAAAAATCACCGTTGTATGGTAAAACTGTGTCTGTCCCTTGCCGTTACGTCACTCTGTGGTCGTGGATCGAGGAATGACCACTCATGCCAGACAAATCCTTACTCATGATTTCAAATTTGCATCTTCTGACATCTACCACTGCATATGTCACGACACTGATAAACAGTAACGTCACTTACATGAAGAAGAGCGTTTGGCGTAGATCTCACGGTTACTCTGTGTTGGTTTTGCTCTCGTCATTACCAACTTCATGTCGACTTATCGCTCTTTTGGCGCCCAGGATAGAACTGGTTTGTATGCTTTTTATATTTTAACAGGACACTCGTTAAAAACGTGATCAGAATGAATGAAATGAATAGTAACTCACGAGACATTTCAATTTACCGCTGTGCTTGTTTGTCGGTCGTTGTGAACTTACAAGATAACAACATGACCGTATCAAGCGTCTCGCCCAAAAAATGTTTCAGTTTCTTTGCAACATTTACCATTCTGAGAGTAATTAGGAACCAATAAGGTTTTTGTTACGCGTTGCTCGTTTTTCACCATGCCATGATTTAAATCACTAAATATGTAATTTCACTCTTGCCTCATGGTCTGATATTGTCATTTTTAGCAACAAGACGTTGTCACAACAACACTGGTGATGCTTCAAGTTCTGTATTATTTCACTCTATCCATTAAAAAGGCCTAAATTAAACGACTCGAGGCTCGAGTACTATCCTAATTTCCACTGCTACGTGCGACTTTCGAAATCTAACCCGATCTTAATTAGTTTCGAGATATCAAAGCAAGCAGAGACAACATCGCCCACATAGGCCCATATGAGCATTAATCACGTATATTTGTGTATCATTTGTTGCAATGATGTGCTTTTTTTCCATGTGCAAAGAGAGAAAATGAGGATCATGTTAACTCTTTGTCTTGTAAATTACGACTTCGAAGCTCGCTTGTGTAAACGGCAAGAAGAGTAAATTAAGATAATGGTTACTTCACTGTTTCTTAATTGACAAGTGATCACAGCGCGGCAGGTGCTTAAACAAGGACTCAAAATATTGGAGTTTGGGGTGACATGAGAAATCATGCAAATTTTTGGTTATGTTTTGTTATCGAGCCCATGATTTAATGTTTTTGCTTTAGCACTGTTTGTATTAAGTAGCAGGCAAAAGGAGCTGAGGATAATTCGGAGCTGTACATTTGAA